GAGTAGCCCAGAACCCGGCGGCATGCAGCCAGTGAGGCTAGTAGCCACGGACGGCCTGCTCCTCCAGGAACTGGTCCAATCCACTTTCGAAGCCGTCCGAATTGGAGGCCACCCCCACTTCCCACGGCAGGGAACGCCTCGGGTTAACTGTGCACCGTGTGACCAAGGACTTCCCTTTATCTATCCCAACCCTCCCACCAATCAGCTTCACGGGATGATTCAGCCGGGTCCTGGACTTATGAGAGAGGGGAAAATGCCTCCACTTTCTCCAAGACAGGCACAATTCTGTACACCATTTTCATGTCTCTCCTCCCTTGCCTTTTTTCTAAGCCATAAATCATCGAATCATTAGAATAGTAGAGCTGGAAGGGCCAGAGGTCCATCAGGCCCAACCCCTGCTCAGCGCAGGACTCCCAGTGAAAGCATCGCCCTCAGATGGCTGTCGGGTTGCCTCTTGAATGCCTCCAGTGTGGGAGAGCCACCACCTCTCTGGGTCACTGGTCCCCTTGTCTTACTGCTCTGCCAGGAAGTTCTTCCTGATGTCCAGCCGGAATCTGGATGTCTGGCCCTTGAGCCCATGAATGCAAGTCCTGAACTCTGGAACGATCGAGGAGAGATCCTGCCCACCCTCTCCGTGACAGCCTTGTTGCTGCACTTGTTCTTCACAGGAGTGGCTCTGGCCCCTTCACCAGCCACCCTCCCCTGAACTTTTTCCAATTCAATATTGTTCTCTCTCAAGTGTGGAGATCAGAAAAATACACAATATTCTGTGATTGCCCCAAAGATTTGTATAAGGGGAATATGATCTTGGCACTGCACTTCTACTCTGAATCCCTTGTCTAATTTTGCCGAACCTGGAGTCTGCCTTTCTCACGGCAGCTGCACTCTGGGCCGGCGTTTTCTTCGAGACGTCCACCGCCCCAGGATCCGTTTTTGTTCAGGCGCCACTCGCTCGAGTCCCACCTGCTGCACTCGAAGTGGGGAATGTTTGCGCCGACGCGCATTGCCTTGCACTTGCTTAATGCCGGGCAGCATTTGCCCGCTGGTGCCCTCCTCCCAGCTTGGAGAGACCCCGTAGAGCGCCTCACAACCTCCTCTGGTCTTAAACGCCCTGCTGTGTCAGCAGCAAACGTGGCCACTTCGCTGCTGGCTCCCAATTCGAGATCACTTAAGAACCATTTGAAAATAGGTTGAGCAGGAGCAGGAGGGGCGCCAAGCAACAGGGAATGGGCCCTCACCTTGGAGATCCTCTCATACCGAGAAGACGCTTCCAGGAGTGGGGGCTGATAGGGGGGGGGGGGGATGAGTCAATCATCAGAAACAGGGAGGAGTCGGCTGCGTCAAGGGGTGTAGGCGGCAGACCAATGCACTGGCCAGAGGCAACGGAAGGGGGTCTCCCCTGGAAGGCACGGTGGGGGGCCAGGCAGAAGTCAGTGGGCCGATCCACAAGAAGCGCAACCTCACCCCAGAGGGGGCTCGCTTTCCCCTCCAGCTCAGTGGGCTTTCCTCCCAGTCCCTGTGGCCCCCCATAGCAAAGGTGCCAGAATTAGCAGGTGACTCTCCTGAGCACACTTCAAGGGGACGGAAAAGTTTATTAAAGGATCAAAACAGCGATAAAGGGGGAACGGTGGTGCGGTGTCAAAGGAAAGGGGGATGAGGGAAAGTGAAGGGCAGCAGCTGCAGGCGCCCATGCCGCTCGTCTCCCCGCTCCCAGGATTCGCCTTCTCTGCCCGGGCAAAGGGCCAAGAAGTGCGGGCTGGGCGACCGAGCGGCTCTGCTGTGGCCCGAGCGGTGAGGCAGCCTGGCCCATGTGGAAGGCTGGGCCTTGCCTGCCCTCTCCTGGTGGAGAACCTCTGGACAGCAGAGAAGCTGTGCTGGATCAGACTTTGGGGGGGGGGGGGCCTCCCGGCCCGCCCGCGGGGGGGCCCGGGGGGGGGGGGGGGCAGAAGCTGTGAGGGTCCCATTCCTCCCTCCTGACACTGTTGCTCAGCTCACAAAATCATAGTCTAGCTAGAACGGGAGGCTGGCGGCCACACAACACGGCTTCTGCAAAAACAGGTCCTGCCAGACAAACCTTGTGGAATTCTATGGCAAGGTTTCAAGGTGGCTAGAGGGAGGGGATGCAGTGGATGTGGTTTGCCTGGATTTCAGCAAGGCCTTCGACAAAGTGCCCCATGATATCCTGGTGGAGAAACTGAGGAGTTTTGGGATTCAAAAAAACACTGTCCGGTGGATTAGGGCATGGTTGACTGACAGAAAGCAGAGAGCAACCATTAGTGGGGAATCATCGGGATGGCAGCCAGTGACAAGCGGGTCCCCCACGGCTCTGTCCTGGGGCTGATCCTGTTTAATCTTTTCATTAACGACATGGAAGAAGGGGTGAACAGTCTGCTGATCAAATTCGCAGACAACACTAAAACTGGAGCAGTGGCCACAACTGAGGAGCAGGTACTCCAGATCCAAAAGGACCTGGACAGGCTATGGAAGTGGGCAGGAGACAACAGGATGGTGTTCAATCTGGATAAGTGCAAGGTCTTGCACTTGGGGCATAGGAATGGGTGTCAAAAGTACAGGTTAGGTGACAAGTGGCTGGAGAGCAGCACTTGTGAAAGGGACCTCGGGGTTCTGGTCGACTGCAGGCTGAACGTGAGTCAGCCGTGTGATGCGGTTGTCAAGAGGGCGAACGCCACCCTTGGTTGCATAGCCAGAAGTGTGGCTTCTAGATCAAGAGAGGTATTACTACCACTCTACACGACTCTGGTGCACCTGCAACTGGAGTATTGTGTTCAGTTTTGGGCCCCCCATTACAGAAAAGATAGAGCCAGGTTGGAGTCAGTGCAGCGAAGGGCCACAAGGTTGGTGGCCGGTTTGCAGGGGATCCCGTATGAGGCAAGACTGAGGGAGCTGGGTCTCTTCAGCCTGGAGAAGAGGTGGATCAGAGGGGATATGTTGGCGACATACATGTATGTGAGGGGGTGTCACACGGAGGTGGGTAGAGACCTGTTCTCCCCTGCAGAGGAAGACAGGATGCGCTCCAACAGAGCCAAGCTCAGGGAGCCAAGGCTCCATTTGGATG